TTGTTTTAATGTAGTAAATTCTATTTTCTTAAATTCTTCATTAAGATTTCAATTCCTCTTAAAAATAATTTAATTTTAATACAATTTAATAATTAAATTAACAAAATTATTTGAATCATCCTTTGCTTCTAAATAATCTATTTTAAATAAAATTATTAATGTAAGTCTTATACTTGTTATTGTTTGAATTTTCTAATTATTGATGAATTCATTGATTTGTTATTTTTGGCTAGGGGTTGGATTGAAATTGTTCTTACTTTTGTTGTTTCATAGTTTAAAAATAATCGTCATTTTTTCGGATAAAAAGGTGATTGATAAGTTGCTAATTAACAAATAAGCCTTATATATTAAATGTGATGATAACCTTTATTTATGAATTATGATATTGTTATAAAATATGTAATGCTTTTTCTAGTGTTGTGAAAAGAAATAACCTTTATTATCGAAGGCTTAAAAATTATTTGGATTGGTCTAAATAGATTTATTAATATGTAATATTGTCTCTTCATATAGAGAGAGTTATTATAGAATATACATTCCCAATCTTTATTATTTAAAGCTATGACAAAATTTTGATTTATTCAAAAGCTTTGCCAAAACATTTTAATGCATCATCATATCTTTATGTCTAATAAAGTTTCTATCCTGATTAATTTAACCTTACTTATTGATTGCTGTAACAAAAATTTGGATTAATCTAAATAACCTTTTACAAAATAAATAATACCTAATAGAATTATTTTTGTTTATGAGACTCTGTGTCAATGATTACATAATAAAATTCAATCTCTCATGATGCAACTATATTCATATTGAGAATTGATTAAACTAGCTTAATCAAATTATTCCAAAGCTTTATTAGAACTTCCAAAATAATGACCTTGATCTATTGTTTTAATCAAATTACCTAAAATTCTTAATCATCACCCTACTTTTTCAATTTTAATTGAATACAATTATTTATTCAAAATTAAATACTCCATAAAATAATTTTCATCTTCGAATTCATTTAAATATTAAATTAATTAATTAAGAAGATTGCCATCAATATAATTATAATTGTGCTGGTATTAATTTAATCATCATTCAATAGATGAAACCAAATTTTAAATATAATAAATTACTTACTTTTAATTTTTACACATAGACATAGAAAAACTTAATGAGAATCTTTATTATCAAAAAAACCACCTATTTTAAAAAATTCTAAATTAAAAAGTTGCTATTGAGTGAATTGATTTTTAACTTAACTATGTCTCATCAACTTTTTAAATAAGTCAACTTGTATTTATTTAGTTTGGTAATAATATAGCTTTGTTATATGAATTACAGGTTATATTTAAGATATAAATTATTAGTACACTCCCCCTTTACTTTCTCAGATAAAGTGAACTTAATTTTACAAAAAAAAGATCTAGATCAATCTATAAATAAAATTATGAATTTGAATATGTATTTGTCAATTATTTTTTGTAGAAAACATCTTTTGTAAAAAAAAAAATTTCTTTTGACAATAAACAATCAATCATTAATATAGAATAAATAAATTCCTTTATTGTTGTAGAAATTTCATAATTTTTTTTATTTCTTTCTTTTTTTTAGTATTTCTCTGAAGTAGAAGAAAAAGAAATAAATGAATCTACTTATCATCACTTATATTATTATGCTAATATTCACATTAATCTAAATTTACTGCAAAAAAAGGGCCTTATATTCATTAGTTCCAATCTGGAAAAATATGATTATTTCTTATTCCTAAATATGTTATGATAAAGATAACGGTTGCTATTATGAGACTGATTACAATGATAAAAATTAGATTTTTATATCACTAGTCAAACTCCTCCAAAATTTAAAGGTTAATTGTTGAAACATCTTGAAAATAAAAAAAAAACTGACCTCCACTGCATTACTATATAAATATTGAAGTTATATCACGGTAATCCAACAATAAATAATTTCAAATTAATTTTGAAAGACATCTTCTCTCGTTTATTCAAGGTTTATACTTTTTATTAAAGAAATATGGAATGATCAATTCCTTTTAGTTGCTTTAGTTTAAATTTAAAATAGATAAAGATTTTGATTAATTAATTACTTATCATAATTAAAATAATAATTTAGCTATTTGAGACAAGAAGGATTTCTTGTTATCTAACAATGTTAAATTAAAAACATTTCATTTAGAATATGGAATTTTTAATTCTATTCACCTATTTTGGATTAATTATAATAACATCTCTATAGAAAAATAAAAAAGGATATATCTCTGAATTTCATTAATTTGGATATTATAAACCTTCTGAATCTAATAATAGCATGTTTCAATCCAAGAAAATAATATCAGCCCAAAACTGATGTAAATTTTATTATATAATCAAATAAAATAAGTTTATTTTATTTCAAATTACTTTGTAAAAAACTTTTGTTGTATAATTATTCATATCCTTCTAAAATTAAAATTCTCCTCATAAAATACCAACACAATTATTTAACAGTATATGAAATAAAAATAATTTTAACTTCTAAATAAAAAATTTTTATTTTTTATGAAATAAATCTGCAGATAATTTAAAATATTTAATTCAACTCCTTTATTTTATCTTTAAAAATACCTTTGTTACAATAAAATTTATCATTTCTAGGAGCAAGTTCAATAGCCTAGTCATATGATTAGATTGATTCTTCTTTTCGAAGAAGTTTTGATAATGCATTGCCTTTAATTTTAATAATTATATTTACCTTTATTAAAATAGATATCTGCATCTTCTTTATTCCTTTCTAAAGTCATATCATATAACTAAATTGCTTCTTGAAATTTCATTTAATCAAATAATAATTTTAAAAAACTTTTCAAAGGTAAAATGTTCCCTATATGATAATTTTAATTGCTTGCCTTTATTATAATAACTTGTAGATTCTTCAGGCAAAATTTCTATTATCTAACCATAACATATAATTGCATCTTCATAAAAGTTTAATTTTCTTAGTGCCAAGCCTAGAATATTCATTAGTACAACTTTTTAAATAAGAATCCTAAAGTATGAATCCCAATCCCTAGGATCTAAATTAATAAAAAAATTTATAATTAACTCAAATTAGAAAGAGTTTATTTAATAATTTACTTTATTATAAACATCCATTTAAATATATTTAGGAGGAAGAGGCTTGGTAATAATTTATTAAAATTTTATAAGATCAATGACTAATTCAATTTAAATGTTTTTAATGGAAGGTTATCTAAACTTTTTATTAACAGATTCGATTATTCTATGTTTAATTTTGTTGATTATATGCTTTAATTTTGCATAGTTCCAAAATAAATTTAAGAAGAGTAAATAGTTTTTCTAGTGAAGGGATTAAAAATATTTTAAGGAGATACATTATTAACTCCAATAATAAATCAAATACGAAATCGATATTGTATTTCTGGTTGGATAAAGTATGATTTTTCAAAGGTTGTTGATGGACTGATTTAGTTAGTTTTTAGGATATCTTCTTAATAATATTATAATAAGGATATTAATATCGGAGATAGTATTTTTAAAATGGAAATGGAAGTTTAAAAAAACAAAAAAGAATTCTGCGGATTGGTAGTATACAGCAATATTTTTCATGTGCCAGTTGGAGGTTCAATAACAAATGATCCTTGGTAAAAAAGAAGTTTCAATAATTTGTATAATAATTATTAATATTATAATGGATTACAATAATGGCATTATATAAAATTTGAGTAAGGATCAGAAGCTGTAGATGGAGGACAATTAGTCTAGATTAAATTTTTTAATGAATTGAATCTTTAGGAAAAAAAGTTGAATTATTCAGGTCCTACAGATTAATAATTTTATTTTTTTATTGGGGGAGATGATTTTTCAAAATAATAACTTGATGCTTAAATGTTTGATTTAAAATTTGAGTATAATTATAATGAAGATAAAATGTTGTAATCGATGTTATTGGATGGTAATAATGTTATTTTATAAAGGTTGCCATTATTCTTGTCTAAGCTGTAATGGTCCATTTGAAGATAACTGTCTGTCTTGTATTTCTACATCAAATCGAAATTATCTTTAAGAGTAAAATACATGTCAATGTAAATATGGATATATTGATTTGAACGGAGAATCGATTTGTATTGCATTTTAATAGATGTTCTAATCAGTTTAAGTAACTGAAATTTAGATGTAAAGTTATCATCAATAATGTGAGCAATAATATTTTGTTTTACCTAATTATTTGACTGAAAATATTTGTTTATAATGGTAACATTTTATTTAATTAAGCCCTTAAAATAATTACGGTAAAATTAGCTGTGTAGATTGCATCTATAATCCTGAAAATTGGTATTTAAAACCAATTTGTACTGCAGATCTGATTTCAAGGTAGAAGGAATCAGATGATGGCTTTTATTATAAAGAGAGAAATATAATGGATTATGATTTTTATATAATTGATGAAAATGGATATTTAATAATTTAGCCAGGAGTTTTTGATGTTTGTAATATTGAAAATGATAAGTAGACTTGCTTTCAATACAAACATTTACACTTAGGGTAATCAATCTATATAAAATGCAAACCTAATTATTATAATTTTAATGGAGAATGCATTTTTACTCATAGTTATTGTTTAGAATCAGATCCATTAGGATAATGCTTGAAAATTATTGATGGAATTTATTTAGATAATAGATAATTTAAATAATGTCCCTCTAATTGTTTAACATGTAAGTATGAAGAAACTTTAAAAAAAGTAGAATGTTTAACGTGCTTAGATTATCATGCTTTATTTAATAGTGAATGTATAAGATGCGGTAATTTTTGTCAGAAATGCCT